TCAATTATTCTTCAATTGTTCAACTATTCTTTAACTATTATTAATTTGTCCAACTATTCTTCAATTATTCATCAATTCTTCAACTATTCTTCAAGTATTCTTCAAGTATTTTTCAATTCTTCAACTATTCTTTAATTCTTCAACTGTGCTTCAACCATTCTTCTATTGTCTAACTATTCTTTAATTATTCTTCAATTCTTCAACTATTCTTCAGTTCTTCATCTATTCTTCCATTCTTCATCTATTCTTCTTATTGTTCTTCAAATATTCTTCAATTGTTCAACTATTATTCAACTACTCTTCCATCCTTCACCTATTCTTCAATTCTTCAACTGTTCCTCAAATATTCTTCACCTATTTCTTCAACTATTCTTCAATTCTTCACCTATTCTTCAATTCTTCAACTGTTCCTCAAATATTCTTCAATTCTTCAAGTGTTCTTCAACTATTCTTCAATTCTTCACCTATTCTTCAATTCTTCGACTGTTCCTCAAATATTCTTCAATTCTTCAATTTCTTCAACTTTCTTCAACTTCATTTTTTTCTTCAACTGTTCCTCAAATATTCTTCAATTCTTCAAGTGTTCTTCAACTATTCTTCTATTATTCTTCAATTCTTCAACTATTCAGCTATTCTTCAATTCTTCAACTATTTTTTTCAATTCTTCAACTGTTCTTCAAATATTCTTCAATTCTTCAAGCGTTCTTCAACTATTCTTCAATTCTTCAACTCTTCTATATTAACTTTCCTATTACAGGCAACCTTGTCCATTATCGCTCAAAGGTTTTCAATTAGGTTAAGGTTAGGACTCTGATTAGAATATAGTCTATAGCATGCCACGAAAAATTAAGGCCGTTATTAAAACAAAAATTTACCCGACATAATAATTTTTGACTTGTATAATGTACATATGTACACCTTTATTAATACCCTGTATTAATAAACGGATTCTGTTACTTATTTGTCTTGATAAAAACACAAAAATCGACTTTCTCTGAGTGCGTCCATTTTTTTTTTTTGCCTCGTACTGTTTATATGAGTGTCAAATTGTCCAAACCCTCTATATAAGTTCTAGAAATTTAAACGGTCTCCTTATGATGATAAATAAACGCAATATTTTACATGCATTTTCTCTAAAAACTCGTCACTCTTCACATATTCGGCTCAGGCTCTATTCTGCATCCTTATTGCCCAAAGGTTTTCAACTGGGTTTAGGTCAGGACTCTGACTAGGCCACTTCCTCTCTAGATAATGTTTATTCTTTAAGACTGTATGCTTAGGATTTTTAGCGTGTTGGAACGTGTAATGTTGACTTTGGGTCAAAAGTTTTTCAGCAGAAAGCCACATTTGATTAACAAGAATATTGTGGCAGTGATGCTGGTCCAGCATTCCCTTGATTTTGTACAATTTACCAACTCCTGCTGCTGAGAATGAACCCCAACTTTGACCTTTTTTATCGTGTGTTTAACAGTGCTCTTCGTAGCCACTGGAGTATTCGTTTCACCTGGCGTACAGCAAACACGTATTCGTCCTTCATATCTGTTATGATGTTGATTTGGGGTTAGTAGAGACAAACGCCAAATAACACGTAACAATAAAAAGGGTTTTAATAGGTTGGTAAAGAGGTACAGAAATCGCCTGAGTAGTCAATAACTAGCTCAGCTAAGAACTTCTCTGTCTATCTCTCCATTATTTAAAGTCTCTGTTAACAGACAAGTTCATCTTCAAGAGGGGTGGTAGGTTTCCGACACAACAATATCTAAGAGTAAAGGGGCTCTCATCAGTTTACATAACGTATTCCCAATCAGATTTAGTCCAGTTTAAACGAGCTCTGCACCAAACCAACCGTACCCGTCGATTTTTTCCAGATACGAAAGGTTTCCTTTCTTTATGTATTTGGAAACAATGTCTTTTGATTTAAGCCTGCGTCTGACGTCTGACGTCTTGAAGAAACCACCAAACTAGCCGATTTGGAAACATCTTGTGCTGTTGCGAATCGATCTTTTTTGTATTGACGAACCAAGTTTCTATCTTCCCTGTCGGTATTTTTTTAGCGATTAGCCAGATCCGCTATGTCTATTATATATTCCAGTTTGATTTCTCTTTTTGATTAACATGCATGAGGGGGGGTTCATGACTCACTTCGATTAATCTTATCAGCTATCGATCTATTCGACAGCCCATGATCATGAAAAACAGCGACTTGGCCTTTCGCGCATTCAGAACAATGCTTAGGCATGTTAAGAAATGTAAATACAAATGTAATAAGCTTTATATTTTCATCAACATTTCTAAGGGTGAGTCCATTTTTTGCCTCGTACTGTAAATATATATATATATATATATATAAAGACATTTTTATGTTTATACATTCTTTTTATACATACAGATATTTAAGTATATATATATATATATATATATATATATATAATATTTGTATCTATAAAAAGAATGTATAATCATAAAAATATCTTAAAATAATTTTCGTAATTTGTCCATTTAATAATATGTATATATGTATATACAGTGTAACCTGGATATAAGAGAGTTGTCGGGACCGGAGAAGAAGTCTCTTATATCCGGGTTTCTCTTATATCCGGGTTTGGTCGATTTTGTTTAGGTAAGTATGGGAACACTTTGGGAGCAGAGAAAATCTCTCTTATATCCGGGCTTCTCTTATATCCGGGTCTCTTATATCTGGGTTACACTATAAATATATATATATATATATATATATATATATATATATATATAAATATACCGTATATACTCGTGTAACACGCGATTTCGCGTGTTGTACAACCCCCAAATCAGATTTAGTCTACCAAGCGAACCGTGTGCGTATATTTTTTTTCCAGATACGAAGGGTTTCTTTTTATCTAATTGGAAACTATGCCTTTTGCTTTAAGCCTACGTATGACTGTTCTTGAAGGAACCGGCGAACATCTTTGGAAACATTTTGTGCTGTCGTTTACGATCTTTTTTGCATTGACCAGCTAAGTTTTTTGCATTGACCAGCTAAGTTTTTTTTTTATCTTCGGTAGTTTTTAGCGGTCGTCTAGATCCACTACGTCTATTACATGTTCCATTTTGATATCTTTATTTTGATTAACTTTCTGGAGACACATGACTCACTTCGATTAATCTTATCAGCTATCGATCTATTCGACAGTCCAAGATCATGTGGCGACTTGGCCTTTCCTAAAGTCACAACAATACTTAGGCATGTTAATAAATGAAAATACAAATGGAATAAGCATCATATTTTGTTCATTATCATTTGGGTGCCGCCATTTTTTTTACTAGTACTCTATATGTTTGTGTGTGTGCACTCACGCGCTTGTGTGTGTGCATATGCGATGTATAATGTAGCCGCTACTGACACCGAAATTAGCGTGTCGATTTCAAATTCTAGTGGAGGCAGCGACTTTCGTTTCACACAAACACCCTTCAGAAACATATAATTCCATCTGTTGGGTGCATCCTTGATAGTTGTTAATAACAGGACTGGATTGACATTCTAGTTTTTGGTTGGCAACCAGTCTTGGAGAAGGATAACTCTGAGTTTAAAACTGGTTGTGTGTGGGGGTGGGTATAACAACACTGCCCTCTAAAATCCTACCTGCTACAGAAAAAACTGCAGCAACACCAAGTGTATTGGGTCTGTGGTCCTATACTCCTTTGGTTAACAACAATATATGTAAATAATGATAATATTAATGGCAGCCTGTCTGATGGAGTGGAAAGCTAATACCTGTTGCAGGCACCAACTCAGACACATTTTTCTTTCTTTAAGACGCACAAGGTCAAATTGAAGTCTATAATGCAACAATGTTGAGTGTGCCTGAATTATAGTTTCTGGGAGATAGCAAGCAATCTGTTGGGATCAGTAGTTGAACCAGGGTATTTTTTTTTACAGTGATGTTCCCCACCCTGTAATAGGCCCGGGGGTCGCTTGAGATAAAGGATTACATTAGGAGGCAGTTTATACGGATAGTAGAGTAAGATAACTGTCAACCCTAGACTTGTACAGGTTAAGATTGTAGTGATCGGGGAAACATCCTCTTGGGAGTCGGTTCCACAGGGTAGTGGTTCGCGAGAAGAAGCTGTTCAAGTGAAACTTACTTCCCTCCTCGGTGAAATACGGAGGAGATGTAAGGTGGGGGTACAATATGAGTGGCATTGAAGGGTCCTGATCTTGAAGGTTAAAACTGTTAGAATCAAGGAACGCATTTCGTCTAAGCACTAAATGCGTAGCCTCGTTCGGGTTCCTCCCCGCCCGAGGGCAAAGAGTTCAACCGGTCAGCTGGTCGTCCGACTTCAGACTGAACTCAGACCAACTCAATGAACGATATTCAGTCACCCCCCCCCCCACGAGGGCATCATATGGCACAAGGCCGGTTTAATGTGTGATCCCCGAGTCCGAGGGCTTGGCCAAAAATATGCCCTTTTAAAACCCGTATAAGCGGCTTCAGGGTCGGTTTACCTCCCCGAAAGAGACTCCGCCCGTCGGCGTAGCCTCGTTCGGGTTCCTCCCCGCCCGAAGGCAGAGAGTTCAACCGGTCGTCCGACTTCAGATTGAACCGACTCACTGAGCGACTCAGCGACTGCTACTACTCCTACTTATTATAGGTGGGAAAGTCTATTAACAATAGAATAGGTGTGTTCCACTATAACATATATATATATACACACACACACACACATATATATATATATATATATATATTCATAACTCACACACACACACACACACATACGCACGCACGCACACACACACACACACACACACACATATATATATATATATATATATATATTCATAACTCACACACACATACGCACGCACGCACACACACACACACACAACACACACATATATATATATTCATAACTCACACACGCACGTACGCACGCACACACACACACACACACACACACACATATATATATATATATATATATATAATGAATAGGTGATAATTTATTTCGTGGTTTCAGACGTTTACTCTTTAGACCAAATTTTACAAAAATAAATGCAGTTCAATTTATTCAAACACAAGGAAAAGAAAAAAAAGAAAAAAATGAGAGATTAAATAGAAAAAGGAAAAAATTTAATATTAAAAGGGGAAAGAGAAAAGGAGGGTGAGAAAGACAGAGATTTCAATATAAGGTTTTTTAGATGGAACAGAAAGAGAGATAGCCATGAGGAGGGGATGGGAAAGAGAGGTAAAAAGAGTTAGAGAGGGAAAGAAATTTGTGTGTGTGTGTGTGTGTGTTTGGATAGAAATCAAACACTGCATGTTGATTAGCAGATTCATGCCTTAAGGGATCACCAGACAATTTATACCAATAAATACTAAATTTGAATAAGAACTAAGTCCTCGCGATAAATAAGCTATTTACACTAGCTTTGTTCAAATCTAACCTTAAAAAATTTAATTATTTTTATCGCTTATTGATTTTATTCTCTCTTCTCAAAATTTTCAAATCTTTCAAAAGTCTTTTCGATTACGAAAACAAACAAAACCCCAGTGTGGGCGAGTGGTCAAACGATGAAACTTTCAATTATATTCCCATCGTAGGAGAGGGTTTAAATTCTGTTGATGGAAAACATTTCTTTTACTCTAACTTAATTCATTTTTGAGGGACAGACAAATGCAAGTTTGGGCTTTAGATATGAGATCATTTTTTAGTTTACTTGACATCAGAAAAAAACTATTACTTAAATAAAGTGTACATAATTCAATATTTCCATTGAACTAATCATGCCACTGAAAAAAAATAATGTGTTTTTCTTTTTTAATAACAAAATTATGGTGTATTTTTTAAATAAGCCAATAAAGATAAAGAAATAAGTTTATTATGAAAAAACAGGACAAAAAAAACAGAGCAACTTTCTTACTTTTCATGAACACAACATAAAAAAATAACTATTTCTAGAGATAGAATTTCAAAATATATTATTAAAAACGTCATCATTGCTTACTTTCTTTGCTTACTTCAATTCACCTCCCAAGCTGTGATCTAAATGCTAAGGTCGTTAACATTTTCAAAACGGAGAATGACTTTGTTTGAATAATTAAGCAGTTTAATTATAAAAGCCATCAACAAAACAAGTGACAGATTACAAAAGAAATAGAGATAAGTAAAAAACGGTTATTTTATAAATCCCAAATGCTGGGCAATCGCCTCACAGGTGGGGAAGTGAGTTAAAGCAATAGAAATACGGTTCTACAGAAGGATACTGAGAATACCATCGACAAAACATGTGAGCAACACCGAAGTATTAGAGAAAATGAAAACAAAAAGATCACTTATAATTAACATCATGAACAGACAGATGATAATTGTAATACACATTATGAGGAAAGACGGCTTGGAAAATTCGACACATACAGAACAGTTAAAAGGAAAGAGGTACAGATGAAAACAAAGCATGCCCCCCCCCTAGGCAGCTTCAGTAAATGGATGGCGGAACAAGGTTTAGGAGAGATAACAAAAAGACAAATTTATTAAAAGTTACAAAGGACAGGAAATTGTGGAAAGCCTTGATCGCCATAATTCTGAAGGGACGTCAAACACAGTGTTTTAAAACTGAATACATAGAAAGACTGATTTGTTTTTATGGTTTATCAACCTTTTGTAGATTATTTAAAACCAGAAAATATTTTTAGATTTTTAAGATATTTTTTTTTTGAGATTATAATTATATTTACTGAAACAATTTCTATTAATTAACCTATTGCTGGGGAGAGAAGAGGTGGATTTATACATTTCCCAAGTAAGTGAATATAACTAACCACACCGGAACTGGAACTCGGCTCTCTGATTAACAATTCCGAGCCATTATCTGTTAAATCGCTCATACATTCAAGCTTACAGCACCTGTTATTCCGAAGCAGTCACCAATCTTGGCAGTGACGAGACTCGACATTGCTTAACTTCGGTGAATATACAGATTAATTATCTTTATTAAGCAAGAACCATTAACTTAGGCAACACACACACACACACACACACACACATATATATATATATATATATATATATATATATATATAGGTAAGTAGATGCATATATACATATCGATAGAGGAATAGGTAAACAGTCAGACATACACAGCCAGACAGACAGAAGAGAGAGAGAGAGAGAGAGAGAGAGAGAGAGGGGGGTGGGGAGATGAGTAAACAAATAAATAAACAACAAGAGCAGTAATTTCAGATAGAAAGAAAAGAAAGAAAAAGAGAGAAAGAAACAGAAGAAGAAAAAAGAAAGGATAAGAAAAGAACAGAGACAGACAGACAGATAGATAGATAGATAGATAGATAGATAGATAGATAGATAGATCTCACCATACCTATGCCATTCCCCCTATCTATCTATACATATATGTGTTTGTGTGTGTATATATATATATATATATATATATATATATATATATATGAAGGATGTAGGGGCTATAAAGATCAAACTGTATTTATTCAATATCAGAATGTTAAGTAAGGGCGATTTGATCAAATTCTCTTTGTTATTCTCGGGTCTCTCTCTCTCTCTCTCTCCCTCTCTCTCTCATATACACAAACAAAGATTTTCATCTTCACGTGCGTATATATATTATGGCGTGCAGCATATATTTTATATAATAAAGAAACAATTTATAAAAAGAATTGAATTGCAATATTAATGTGATTAATATCGAAATTACTTCGCTAACAAGACTTAATAAGTCATTAGCTTACTATAATTTCCTTGAATAATAAGAACCTCATCTTCGAGTTGTTGTCAGATCGAAGACACACGCCAAGTATTTTTGAAAATTTCGGTCTACACATATTTTGTCTTAGTGTTTTCCTATCTAGAGGGGGGGGCAGGAAATACGCCCTGAAAAGGACAATTTGAAATTGTCGAAACTACTTGACGAGTGTCTTCAATCTGACAGCAACGAGAATATAAGGATCTTACTATTCAAGGAATAAATAATAAGTTAATGTCTCATTAATCTTGTTAGCGAAGTGATTTTGACATTAATCACATTATTATTGCTGTTTAATTCTTTGTATATATTGTTCCTTTATGATATATATATATATATATATATATATATATAATATTAATATAGTCAATATATATATATATATATATATATATATATATATATATATATATATATATATATATATATATATATATATATATATATATATATTTCAAGAGGATAGAAAACAGGCAGGTAATTTGTAAGGCTGATGATTTGAATCGTGATTACGATTCCAATGTAATAAATTATAACTATGGGATATTAGTGTTTTGAGCCTTTATAAATATATATATATATATATATATATATATATATATATATATATATATATATATGTATGTATGTATGTATGTGTGTGTGTGCCTGTGTGTCTGTGTGTATCTGTGCGTGCGCAGAATTGTATCCAAAAATTCTGCGTATAAACCTGTCTTTCATTTTTTAATTGTGATATTTACTTTTACTTATCTTTGAAACAAAACTACTTACACGATGAGGTGTCTACAATGTTGCGACACATTTTAAATGAGAAAGGTTCGTTTGTTATCTTTTCGGACATCTTGAAGCGAATAACGCCAATTCTTTTTATGGTAGCTCTTCTTAAAATATACAGATAATAATGTATGCCTCGTATGGTAAAAATGTGTGACACGTCTGCTATAGAACAGTCGTTAGAATGTTTGTATTGCAAACATTCACTGAGTTTGTGAGTTCGATTGCTATGGGCTTTGTTATGTAGCAGAATAGCATGTTGTACGGAGTAATTCTATCTTTTCTTCTATAAAATTGTCCAATAAGGCTGTATTCATGGTAACCAAAGTAAATAGATTAGGGTTTTTTTTTATGACTGAGAGGGAAGCGTGGAGTAAAAGACACAAAATACGATGCGTTGGCAGTAAATTAAGCGTGAAGAGTTTTTATTGGATGACGTTTTAGTGAAATGGTGTCCGGGTACGAATGAATGGTCGAATCAAAATGACGATACATATATAGATACTTATGAAGAGCTAGCTTTCCATCTAGCTTTCTATCTATCTAGCTAGCTAGCTAGCTAGCTAGATAGATAGAGATAGATGAAGAAGTTTACATATATATAAATAAGTTGACTAAAATAAAAAGAAATAGATATGAACTGTGGTATATAGATATTTTTGACATACTGAGATAGATAAAAACAGATTATGAGATATGTATATATCAAATAAATTAATAAATAATAAATAAATAAATAAATAATAATAATAATAATAATAATAATAATAATATTAATTGACCACAATTATTAAAACACTACTCATCTATAACCATTATTTTTCAGCAATACCATAGTCCGTTTTTTTGTGAAAACATATTAATTCATATATATATATATATATATATATATATATTTATAGAAAAAAAAATGTGACAAACTGAAAAGGTTTTTTGTTGAATGCGTCACAAAGAACCTTTCCAGTTTGTCATAAATTCTAAATATATATATATATATATATATATATATATATATATATATATATATATATATATATATTCGTGCAATGGACATACGTAATACTAACATATGCGCTGGGTCATGTTTCACTGGAAAAATGCGAAAAAGTGTAAATAATAACGGAATTATTCGTATTGTTTCAATTAATTTGCACAAGATAGATAGATAGATAGATAGATAGATGAATAGATAGATAGATATGAAAAGAATGATATAGACAGATATGAAAAGAATGAGATAGAGAGATACGAAGAGAATGAGACAAATTGATATGAAAAGAATGAGATAGATAGATAGATACGAATCAAAGACGTCCAAAAATCACATGTAAACTTCGCCTTTCTATGTGAATAGAAAGGCAAAGAAACACTGTAAACCAATTTGTGCCTGCTTAAGTGAATTCATACTTTTTAATACCATAAATATTTTGCCTTTAATATTAATCGATAAACAATCAATTACTTCAGCATCTAAATATCTTCTTCGTATATGCTCCAACCTAACATATGTGAAGATGTTTGTGTGCGTGTATGTTTACATGAATGCCCAATTATACAGTATTTCAAGAAACGTTCACAAGTCTTGGCAATCTTTTGCATTGTTTGGAAATTAAAACGAAACTTTTTTAAAGGCTGCTGCTGATTTAAGTCATCACTCTTTGTAAGAATTGAGCGCCATGGTATGACATTTATATATATATAAGTGATAAAAATTAATTTACTCTGTCTTGCGCCAATAACCTACTTGTAAGCGTCTCTGACTGATGACAAATAGATCGAATTTCGATCATGGCTTGAAGCACCCGGATATCTATCCACACTGATGAGCTGCGGAACAGTCTCTCTGTGGATGACTATATATATATATATATATTTATATATAGTCACTATTACTGCTGATAATGCAAGACTCTACAAATTGGATTGAATTCTCTCTTGAGTGCTTATGATAAAATAAACATGCAAAAATTTGCCTTTCTCCCTACCAGCCATTGAGGCTAAGAGTTAGAATCTCTGACTGATACCAAATTAGTCAGGTTTCGATCCTGGCTTGTTCCTAGCTTGAAACAATCAGATATCTAGCCACACTGATGAGCTGTGAAACAGTCTGTGGATGACTATATATATATATATATATATATATATATATATATATATATATATATATATATATATATATATAGGCATTGATGTCAAATCATAGTCTCGTACATGAACGGAATATGGCCTGACGCTTGCCTTTGGTTCAATGTCCACTTTTATATTTATATTTACAGACGTTTTAACTCTGATATTGAGTACCTGGCCCCATACATAACTTGAAATGATATTCTATCAATATATATATATATATATATATATATATATATATATATATATATATATATATATATATATTAGATAGGAAAAGAGAACATTTATAAGGCATGTTTTTTAAAGAAAAGCTAAAAATAAACCCAAAAGCCCCCCAAAACAACCGGTTTTATCTCAGGACTTATCAAGTTTATTTTTCTGGGAATAGAAAATTTATAAAAGCGTGTAAATTAAATTAACGAATGGAATGGAATGGAAGAATATATATATAAATCAATTTCAACAAGCTAGAGTCCAATAACATTCAGACCCAGTAAGCATTTAGCTCTGTTCACAAAGGGAAGGCCCAAGGGATCTAATCTACAAGGACTCTAGAACCTTGAGATGATATGAGGAGTGGGACCTAGATAAAATCAAAAATTAAATATAAAGAAAAAAAATTATTTATTTATTATATATATATATATATATATATATATATATATATATATATATATATATTGAAAGAGCTCAATATCAGGTAACATATTCCGTTATAGCGATAATGTCACTAAGACGCAGGGGGGCTACTGGGAGTGAAAAAGAAATGGAATGAGAAGACTTTGGAAGGAAACTGAAACCCAATCCTAAACAGGATGAAAACAATAAACCTATACTTCTATTTAAAAGTCCTGGGAGCAATTGCTGACTAATTTCTGAGTAATTTCGCCTTATATATATATATATATATATATATATATATATATATATATATATATATATATATATATATATATATATATATATAAGAAATTGCTGCCAAATGCAATATGAATAAAAGAGACAAGATGAAATACTAAACTTCTTCAACGCTTTTCGCCCCATGACTGATTTTATCAATGTAAGTATAGTTGTTCCCCTTGTTTCTTTTTATTCATTGTATCTCTTCTACAGATACATTCCATCTGAGTATATACTCACACACACACACACATATATATGTCATAAATTTGCGTATGGAAATCCGAGAGAGTTTTAAGTTATTGTCATTTGGAAAAACGTTCATGAAGCCATATAGGCGATATGCATTATCTGATATTATTTTCGAAACATACTTTCATGAACGTTTTTCCAAATGTCAATAATATATATATATATATATATATATATATATATAAATGTGTGTGTGTATCACTTTAAAAATTATTTTCAGTGGATACTCGCATTTGAGTAAGCGCTCCGTTTATTTATTAAACATTATATTTATTTATTTGTTTATTAAATAAATATATATATATATATATATGTGTGTGTGTGTGTGTGTGTGTGTGTGTGTATTCGGGCAGCAATCCTTTTTTATACAAGTTTCATTAAAGATGACTGACAAGGTACAAGGGTTAAGATTTTTATTCGTATACGTGTTTTTCTTTTCTGTATATATATATATATATATATATATATATATATATATATATATATATATATATATATGTGTGCTTTAGTGTGTGCATGTATTAAAATTATTTTATTAATGGTGACCATTAATTAATATACATCTGTAGAAATGCAATTCTGTTTCATCTGTTAGCTGATTATTTTAAAAAGTCCGTTCAGTTTAAGAAAAAAAGGTGTCAAAAACGCTCTTAATCTGTGCCCCTCCTCCTCCTCTTTCTTCTTCCTTGTCCTCCTCCTTCTTTTTCTTCTCCACCTCCTCCTCCTTTTCCTCTCGTCGTAGATTCGTTGGTGGCTGTGTGCGGCGCATTAAACGGAGAGGGTCCTACGAGAATGTACGAGTTGGTTCCTATTGTGGTGTTCGTGTGGTCGGAAAATCTCGTCGAGATCTCGCTGTGTCTCGCCGAGGATGTGATGTGAGGTACTGTTGTCTATGACTCAGGCACTGGAATGTTGGTGAAACTGAGGCAACATTCCAATACATGAGACAATAGAAATCAGCATGTGACAACCGTCCCAAGCGGTTTATGAGTTACCTCCCTTTTTGTGTGTGTGTCTCCTTGCTCTCCAATACGCAAGCTGAAAAATCTGTCACTGGCTTATCAACAATTTTGGGAGAAGGGGCTTGATTAGCTACTGAAATTTAGATCGTCTGTTTGCACACACACACACACACACACAAGCACAAACAAACAAACAAACATCAATTCAATTCTGTGAACTTTTAACGACAGAAATACTCCAGGGTCTATCTATCTTCTTCCTGTTTTCTTTTTGAACGATGGTCTTCGAAATAGAATATAATTTCGAGAGATTCTTGTACAAAATTTCATATGACTTCTAACATGTTTTTCGGAACAGGGAGAAAACTCACTAAAAATCTCAATAAAAATTACTCAATTTTATTAAATAAAAGAATTTAAACGAGTAATTACTATCTGCAAATAATTGTTTTGTTTCGTTTTGTTCTAGGGCACATCAACCTCAATGATTTTTTTGCTTGCAATAATTTTTCCAAAAATGTATTGCTGGTAATATTTTTTTTCTTTAAGTATGTATTGCTGGTAATAATTTCTTCTTTAAATATGTATTGCTGGTAATAATGTATTGTTGATAATAATTATTTACAAAAATGTATTTCTGGTAATATTTTTCCTTCAAAAATGTATTGTTGCCAATATTTATTTTTTTCAAAAATAATTATTCCTCAAAAAATTATTGCTGTTATTTTTACACTTTCATAGTGTTTTGACCGTTTTTGGCTATTTGCCTATAGTTAAGACACTAACATGTACTACCACCCCACCAGCAATTAAGTGTCTGTTCCACGCTCCTCAAAACCTCCTGAACAGAAGAGTTTCCGTCGGATGTAGTTTAGTGTCTTACCCGGGACGCGGATGTAGTTTATCGTCATACCCTGGACGGTCTGAAAATAATACTCTATTTAAAGCATATAATTAGCAAGCCCGGTGGAGTAATGGATTGCGGCTCGCATTGAAGAACCAGAAAGCCGAGTTCGAACTCCAGTCGAGTTCATTACGTTTACTTATGTGCTTATACTCTTGCGAAAGGTATGAATCGATCTTATCTGCTCTCCAAGGGGAAAGAAAACTCTGAATTCAAACCATCCTGAAGAGGGTTGGATACCGTCAGGCTATCTTGCCCAAGACACACCACTTCTACTGAGGCTGCACTACACGTGGTATCCCTAGGCCACCAAAGAGTTACGGGACTGGTGTTCGTGATATAGCAAAACGAAGAACAAATTAGAGACGCAAAAATCAAACAAATATAACAATATATCTTGCAAGTGTTTTAACATCGGACGGAAAGCGTGATACTAAAATCCGAAAGAGTATTGGGATAGCGAAAATGCCTTCCAAAATCTAAGCAAAGTAATAAGAAATAGAAAAACTCCGTTATCATTCCACCTATGTGACAGTGAATGCCGGACAATCTCCTCACAGATGAAGAAGAGACGTGAAACAACTGAAATGTGGATCTATAGAATAATGCTGAGAAATATCTTGGACCGAATATGTGATAGACTGAAGGCGAGATGGACAGAGGAAAACAACGCAGACTCTACCTAACTAGATTCTGTAAATAGATGTTGGAACAAGGTTTAGGAGAGATAACAATGACAGAATGTAGTTTATCGTCATACCCAGGGTGGATCAGATCGTAAGATCTACATGGAGTTAGGTGAGTAAGAATGAATGATATAGCGAGTTCAAAGTTTATTTCATTTAATAACTTTGAGAAACCAATCAAATATTATTCAGGTATAAGGGGTAACTTTTGAAGAACCATGTTTGCTCAACTTCTGAAAGGACATGGCAGAGAGAGAAATATTTCTAGTTATATAAATCTACTGAAATCCGAAGTAGCATTGAGATAAAGATGCCTTCCAAATGCTAAGCAAGGTATTAAGAAACAGTAAAAATTCATTAAAAACAAAGAAAATGTTACTGAACTGTTACGTAATATCAGCCCTCCAATATGGCAGTGAATGCTGGACAATCTCCTCACAGATGAAGAAGAGACGTGAGGTAACACAAATGTTGTTTTGTTGAAGAATGCCGAGAATACCATGAACCGAATATAGTGATTTTCCAAGTGTAGCTCAGATATGGCACAAGGCCGAAAGTAAGGAGCACCCATTGAGGATCGAACTCACTACTCAGTCGTAATTGTTCTAGCGAGGCAAACTTGCTAACCATTAC